TTCACTACAATGCCCCTTTCTAGTACACTGTAGCTTGGTGAACCAAAACGAGCCGGGCATGGTGAGCGCGTCCGGAAGGTAGCAGAGCCTTCCCGCCGGCCAGCCTGGTCGTCGTCGATGGGGGCACGGCTTTCGTCGAACTGTCTGGTGTAGCGGTAGGTGCACTCCCGCGGTATTCAGCTCGGTGATGTGGGCAAAACGGTAAATGTGCCCTGGCTCTCCACAGTTGTAGCTAAGTGGTCGGCGATCCGCAGTGCGCCATATGCCGGTCTTTTGCATATAGGGTCCCCTGACAGAATCCTGCTTCTGGGGTCCACAGAATAGGGCTCGAGGTACTGCGGCGCTGGTATGGGCGTGGGTCGATGAACAGCGTCTGCATAGCTGTATCTGTTCGGCTGGTAGGATACTTCTGGAGTTAATGGACGACGCACAGCGTCTGCGTAGGTATACGGGTTTGTATGGTACGGCGGAGGGGAATATTGCTGAGGAGAGGCAAACGCTTGTCGAAGTTCATGGCGAACGACTTCAGCGACGGAGGCCTGCGTGGACTGTTGCTGCGGGGGCGCCTGTGACTGCAATGTGTACTTTGCGTTCTCCTTCGCAATCTCCTCACGCACAATCTATCGAATCAGGTGGCGTTGAGAAAACTCGTCGTTTCCGGTAAGTGCGGCTGCACCTGCAGCTGCGCCGGTGGCCGGGCGATCAGACTGTCGTTACCGATGCTGCAGTGCACGCTCTATTGTGGTGGCCTCCCTGATGAACTTGTCCACTGTTGTTGGCGGATTGCGCACAAGACCAATAAATAGCTGCTCTTTGACGCCCCTCCTAAGATGGCTTAGCTTTTGAGCCTCGGGCATGTTGGTGTCCGCGTGGTGGCACAGATGCATTATATCCTCAGCAAACATGGCGACGTTTTCCTGCAGCTAGAGTGCCTAGAATATTTCTCCTAGTGTCGTGAACGGGCCGGCCGAGGAGAAATGGTATGCGATACAGCCGCCAGGTGGCAGTACCGCTCTCTGGCGCGCTGCTTTTTCGGCAAGCTGGGGAGGCAGCAAGCCGGAGCAGACGCTTTGCGTTGAAATTGCAGTGGTGGTTTCATGGCTTAGCACGCGATTGCCTTGTTATCCTGCGTTTTCCATGCAGACTGTAAATAAAGCGTGTGAATTTGAACGAAATGTATGCGAGCTCTCTGCCTTGTTGAGATTTTGTGTCCTCCTGCCGTGCCGCCTCTTCATAGATTGGCCGCTCGCGCGTTACCAATGCTACTTTTTAAATTGCGGTAATTAAGGGGTGGCCAACCGGGGGCTCCCAGCGGTACGACTGTTCAACACAAAAAATCACATATTTCTCTCCTCATCCGCGACCACCATTCCCTCCCGTAGGCTGCTGTCGCGACTTTGTTGTCATGTGCAGAATCGCAGGCACTGTACAAACCCTCTTCTCGCAACTTTTTATATATACAATGTATTATGGACACTTACTTTCCCTGCACTCGGTGGCAGGCCTGGACGCACCCACGTACAAGGGTCATTATCTCTTCGATTGGCCCTTCACGCCTCGAAGTAATCAGAAAAATAAATAATGCCAAAGCAATGACAGTGCGCCAGACGAAACCACTGGCGAACAGGACCCCCTGCGAATGAGTTACCAGCAGTAAGGAAAAACAAACCAATACAAAATGCAAATACAAGTCCACCATGACGGCTAAACTCGTCCATTTCCTTGGTCTTCTCCTGTAGTGCTGAAAGGACTTTGGAGTTAAATCCAAATGCGCTCTTAAAGCCTTTCATATGCTTGTATAAGCAAGACTTGCTTGGCAGAGCCATTATTTCGTGCCTGCGGACATGCTCGTAAAGCTGTGGACTTTTAATTCGCATAAGAATGCACTCCAATATCCACAGTTTGTCATACGACATGCCTCTGGTCGACTTCCGAGTGGCTGCCTGAAAGCAGGTTTTGACAGCAATACGCTGCTTCACTGGCAGACCACTCAACTTTTTTTTCTAAAGCAGCCCTGGCAATTCCATTGTTGACTGCCCGTAGCTCTTCAATGCTCCTTTGCGCCTTAGCCAGCTTCTTCTTGGCCCGGAACAACTGCACAGACTTCCTAGAAATGCGCTGCTTGAATGTGCCTCTGCGTTTCTTCTTCAGTCTGTTCCGCTGATTTTGAATCAGTCTCCTCAGGCACTTGCACCTCAAGCAAGCTTCCCATCCTGCGTAGTAACCAAGCACTTGGGCGAAAAACATCCGCTTCCGAAACGGACGCACTTAGTGCCAGCGGCAGGCTCAATTTCGCAGCCGCAACAAAGAAGCAGATCGTCAGCCCTTTTCAGCGAAGCGAGCGCGTCAGTTTCGGTGCTGACATAGTGCTCTTCCACATTTATGCCGCGGCAGTAAGTACTGCAAAGGTACTCATCTGCAGCACCTACTTCCTTGCTTGACGAAAACACTACGTGTTTCAACACGCACACGTCACCCGGCACTGTATTGTAGTGCCATGCGAAGCACAATGCTTCTGGGTTACTGGGCAAGCAAATTTTGCTGCAAAATGCCGACGGCGGCGTTATGCTGTGAAACGGGTGCGGCGCCTGTGCTGTTTTCTCGCCAGCGGCAGCATCGTCACAGGCCTGGGAAGTCGTGGGTTCATTCGGCGCTTTACGCTTAGCAGGTGGAGCTGTGCAGTCAGCAATATTCCTCTCTTTTCTTTTTCGAGGCACTGGTTTAGTCAGGTAAGCGGGGCCATCCGGGAAAATGGTAGGAACGGCGTCCGGCGTTAGCGATGGTCGTTCACGGTCGCATTCGACGTCCTCGCCGTTGATGACATGCTTGAAAGTTCTTTGGATGTAGCGATCATCAAAATGACGAGAACACACTACACAAGTTTCGCCTAGAACTTTGTCACCTCTTTTGATGTTTCGCGCCCATTCTTGAAGACGAACACGGTCTGCCGGAGCCCTGAACAGAGACACCTTCTCCTTGAAAGACTTGTACCCGCCTTTGCACAAAGGCACAAAGCACGTTCTTCCTTTTTTTTCAGGCATAGTCACACACAATCGCTGCACGAGAATTCACGGCACATATTCGAAACGTAGCGAGAACACGCTTCACTACACAGAGAAGTCGCCACCCGACACAACGTTGAAAGGCCCGGCCGGCACGCACTGACGCGCCAGTTGCAAGTAGCGCCCCCTAACGCTGAATACAAATCAATTTCCCAGTCGCCGATGGGGAAGGCGCCTGTTCATGACACTAGGAGAATATTCTAGGCACTCTACTGCAGCTGTTGGGTGCGTCCTTCAAGAAGGCGTTGTGCGTTTTCGCGTCGGTCCGCGTTACCAAAGGTGTCAAGAAACTGACGACAAAACTCCTCCCATGTCGTCAATGTTGCCTCGTGGTTTACCTACCACGTCTTTGTGCCGTCTTCAAGGGCGAAGCGTACGTGGAAGAGCTTTTCATCGATATTACAGTTCTTTGATTTAGCTACCCTTTCAAACTGCTCAAGCCAGTCTTGCGCATCTTCGTTCGGCCGGCCATGAAATGGTTCAGGAATGCGCATATTCTGGACCGTCACCTGTGCAGGACTCATTGAAAATGCCATTTCTTGAGTAGGGGTGGCTGTCAGAAGTGTTGATCCTTCTGAAAGGCCAAATTCTGGTTCAAGACCTTGAAGTTGACGGCTTGAGCGATGCACAGGCGTCTCTACGCGTGGCTGTTTCGTATATAGGGCTGGACTCGGGGATTCTCACAGGGGTGCCAATCATGTGGTGGTAGTACCCCGCAACTCTACCAGTGTTACGGGTTATAAAATACGGAGGGTTAATTAAAAAACACGGACAGTAGAATTCGTAGAGACCTCTCAAAAGAAGGCCGCTAAGATGATTGTCGTCTTCTTCACTCGCCTGCGCTGCGCCTCTCGAGCGAATCCGCGATCTTCGTTGTCGTCGCTACCTCGCCGCTAGACGCAGCTATGCACGCGGCAATATGCTTTCAATATTTTTTTTTTTGCCAATTGCTGTTTGTAGTAAGGTAAAAGAGATAACAACACACAGACACAATAGAAGGTAACCAAACTTGGATGCGTGTGTGTCACATCTTTAACCTATTTAAATAGTTACCGAGTAGCCCAAGAAGATGCTAATTGAAGGTGCTAACGCGGCTGGCGTGGACCGCAGTTTTTTTATGTAACTCCAGCTGCTAATGTCGCTTAAAAAAATTCCCGCATATCCACAAAATGAATCATAAAAAAGCTTGCTCAAGAGGTCAAATTCGGTAAAACGTGAATCCTCTGTATATATGATCAATCATCATCATATAAAGACGCGACACGAGAGTCGTTGCTGTAATTGATATACACGTCATATACACAATGTTTATTATTTGCATATCAATGTACTATATACCCGACAACTCTCAGCACCACACTCATACACAACGATAAGTCCATGCGGTGCATTCAGCTGATAAGTGCTTCTAGGTATTGTTCTATGTTTGGGCAAACACAACTTGTGCTGGTGGGGTGCCTGTGGTTTAGAATAAATATGTCAAATTTTCCTGTTTGTTTAGACAGTGCACAATTACTTTAGATGCTGGATTTGACGTGGCGCAGGACTTTAAATAATTATGAATTCCAAGAATATATTATGTTTCCTTAGTGTAAAACCGCCTCGTTAAAGAAGTGCATGGCGAAAAGTTAGAAACAGTGCACAAAAGAATTCTTGCAACCTTTAAGAGTCTAAAAACTTCCGTAGTAAAAAGGTCACAAAAAATAGCAAGTGTGCAAGAAAGTTAGTAACAGCTCCTGTTACTAAATCTATGCTTGTGCTTACAAGCTTTCCAGTTTTTTTTAGAGTGCACACTTAAGGTACAGTGGTTCGGCCATGTTTTAAAACACTGTTTCAAAATCGGTTTCAAAACACTGCATGCTTTGCTACTCCCTTTTGCACTCTCAGTTAACGTGGTAAGATGCGGCATTTTTTCTCAAACCTCCTTGGGATACCCACTAATCTCGCAGCAGGCGGCAGTCCTCGGCGCGCAGCAGCAGGCCACGCACTATGCTCGCTGTGTCAGCCATGTTGGCCGAGATGGTGAGCCGCGCTGACTCGTGCTCCCGAACCTGTGTAACGGTGAAATCGCGTTTCAAGCATGTACAGGTGTAAATATGCAAGAATTATATACTGTACCACGGCGTTGGTCAAGCCGATGCTATACAGACAATTTGACCGAGGTACCGAAATAAGTTCCTCCAAACGGGGGGAACGTTTTGCAGGAACGTGTAAAAACTGCTTAAGGTTGCAATTCATGCTCGCGTTTACGTCAAATTCATCATTATGACCATTCTCAGCCTGTCCAGTGCGGCCTTCTCCCAGTGATCTCCAGTTTACCAGTCTATCCTGCGCGAGCTAATTCCATTTTATTCCTGCAAACTTATGTTGAATTCCAATGGCAGATCCAGATCAAGTTTTTCTGCTCTGAGCGGAGCAATCACATTCCACTGGCAGATTGGGAGCGTGAATTGTGTGTTCCAATGGCAGATTGAGAGCAACCGCAGATCACGAATTGCTCCGTGGAGCAAGAATTCTTGCTCCACCGAAATCGGCGGATTTGACCGGAAGTTCAAGTGACGTACTCTGTGCGCCGGCATTTCATCCAATCACCGATGGACGCTCGGAAAACGCTTTGCACTCTCTCGCACCCTCATGTGCTCTCTCGCTAGATTTCCGCTCACCAAGAGCTCCCGCCGAGACGCGTGCGTTCCAGTCGCAGATTTGGTGACAGCAATCCGGCTCGCACCTGCGCGCTTCATTCGTTCATTCGCAATCCGGCCCAGCGCTTGCGATCTGCCATTGGAATTCAACATTAATGTCGTCACTCTCTCAGCCTTTCTCTACTGCCCTCCCTTACTAGTATGGAGCCAAAATGGAGTAGAAGCATACGATTGCGAATGCTTTATAAAGGGATAAAGAGTGCTTACCAGCTCAAACGACTGTACAGGAGGGGACAAAAGAAGAGACCAGACAGAGCGCTGACAGCGCTCTGTCTCGTCTCTTCTCCTGTCCTCTCCTGTGCCGCCGTCAGCGCTCTGTCTCGTCTCTTCTGGTGTCCCCTCCAGTACCGTCGTTTGCGCTGGTAAGCACTCTTTATCATGTTATACCAACACGCCCAATCCTACTGCCTCTTGTGCTTTAAAGGGGCACTGCTGAAACCTCGTGCTATTTTTGTGCCAAAGAAGTGCTTATTTTGAAATAAAATCACGTTTTAGTGGTCCGTATTGTGTTAGCAGCCTTCAAACTGCCCGCCTCCAATGGAACTTTTCACGTCACTGTTGTCTTGCGCATATGTTGCCCTGCTTTACTGCATGGCCGCTGACACTAGTAGCAGCAGAACGAAAGTAGCGGGAGCCTCAGCAGCAACAACGATCATTTAAAAAATTCCTGTCATAGCCTCCGAGATGGCAGGCGTGCTTGGTTTAACTGGGGCCCGCTAGATGACATGACCTGTACTGTTTAACCAGGCGAAAATTGAACTTTTTATTCCACATAGTAGTAATGTCCGGCGGTTCTTTTTTCCATGAATCAAATAGAAACGAACAAGCAGCATTTTATTACGTCTCTTAATGAGCGGAAGGTTTTCTATTTAGAGGAGCTAGTTCGATTACTAGCGGTTAATAGCAGACTGACACTTTGACGTCATTAGGATCATTTTGCCATGTCCTACTGCGGCGCATGTGTTACTGAGCCGCACTGAGGTGTTCCAGCCTGCGGTCAGTGCGGCTCTGTTGGACATAGACCCGACGCCTGTCCCAGCCGCATATTTGGAATTGCTGGTCCCGCATCGCACGAAAGAGAAAAAAAGAGTGCGAGGAGGACGCCACCGCCAGAGTGAGGATTGCTCGCGCCCTATTGGTTCGCCTCTGGAGGTGACGTGCTGATGACGTGCGTGCTGGTGACGCAGTGATACTGACTAAACCAACGCCTCCTCTAGAAAGATGCCTGCCGCATGAGAAGAAAAACAGCTGCCACACCCTTTCCTTCCTTCAGTTTGAAAAGGATGGATGGATGGATGGATGGATATGGCTGTACCCTTTAGATCGGGCGGTGGCTAGCGCCACCAAGCCGTAATACTTAATGAACTCAAAACTATATTTATTTATTTATTCCTTAAAAAGTGAGTTTGAGGATTCGTACTTTGCAGTGAAGAGTTTAATTTCACTCGTGCCTTGACTTTAGCCACCAATCAGATAACCTCCTTCTAGTTAAGTCTACTTGCTTAAAGTCTATTTTGCCTTCCCGGTCCCTAAACCCCAGTGCTTTGAAAAACTCTGCGCCATCATCCTGAACTATAGGGTCAAGCCCTTTACAGAACATTATCAAGTGTTCGGCAGTTTCTTCTTCCTCTCCACACGCACTGCATACTGTGTCTACCCCTTCGTATTTGGCCCGATATGTCTTGGTTCGCAATACTCCCGTCCTTGCCTCAAACAGTAGAGAACTACCCCGAGTATTATCATAGATACTTTCCTTGGTAATTTCCTGCTTAAAAGTTCGATAGATCTCTAGTGCGGACTTCTTAATCATGCCCATTTTCCACATGCCAGTCTCCGTTTCCTTCACTTTCTTCTTAACCGATAGTTCTTTTTGGTTTGGCCACCTGCTGTTTTCTAAGTATTTACCAGTCAACTTCATGGTTCGCTTCCTCCATTTTGTATCGACATTCTTCATGTACAAGTAGCTGAAAACCTTCCTAGCCCAAACGCTCCTCTTTCATTTTTCTCAATCGCTTCTCAAATTTTACCTTGCTGCTAGCTTCCCTGCCCTCAAATGATGTCCATCCCATATCACCTTGTACTCCCTGATTTGGTGTATTCCCGTGAGCTCCTAAAGCAAGCCTACCTATTCCACGTTGCTTAATTTCTAATCTTGCTTGAACTTCTGATCTCATGCACAAGACCGCATTGCCGAACGTCAGCCCAGGAACCATGACCCCTTTCCATATTCCTCTCACAACATGATACCTATTGTAATTCCACAGTGCCCTATTTTTCATCACTGCTGCATTCTTGTTACCTTTAGTCGTCACGTATATTTCGTGTTCGCTCAGGTACTCGGTCCCATTGCTTATCCATACGCCCAGATATTTGTATTTATCTGTTATCTCTAGCGTGACGTCCTGTATGCTAAACTCACTACCTTCGTTGTCATTGAAAATCATGACTGCTGATTTTTCCTTACTGAATCTAAAATCTAACCTATCTCCCTCATTACCGCAGATGTCCATCAATCTCTGCAAATCTTCCTTGTTGTTGGCCATTAGCACTATATCATCTGCGTACATTAATGCTGGTAGTGCCTGATCAATAAGTTTTTCTTGTTTGACTAAAGAGAGGTTGAAGCCCAGCCCACTTTCCTCTAATTTTGCCTCTAATCCTTGTAGGTACTTCATGAATAATAAAGGCGGGCGGGCGGGCGGGCGGGCGGGCGGGCGGGTGGGTGGGTGGGTGTATGGATGGATGGATGGATGGATGGATGGATGGATGGATGGATGGATGTACCCTTTAGATCGGGCGGTGGCTAGCGCCACCAAGCCGTAATACTTAATGAACCAAAAACTAGATTTTTTAAAAGTCAGTTTGAGGATTCGCACTTTGCAGTGAAGGGTTTAATTTTCACTCGTGCCTTGACTTTAGCCACCAATAAGATAACCTCCTTCTAGTTAACCCGCTTAAAGTCTATTTTGCCCTCCCTGTCCCTAAACCCCAGTGCTTTGAAAAACTCTGCGCCATCATCCTGAACTATAGAGTGAAGCCCTTTACGGAACATTATTAAGTGTTTGGCAGTTTCTTCTTCCTCTCCACACGCACTGCATACTGTGTCTACCCCTTCGTATTTGGCCCGATATGTCTTCGTTCGCAATACTCCCGTCCTGGCCTCAAACAGTAGAGAACTACCCCGAGTATTATCATAGATCCTTTCCTTGGCAGTTTCCTGCTTAAAAGTTCGATAGATCTCTAGTGCGGACTTCTTAATCATGCCAATTCTCCACACGTCAGTCTCTGTTTCCTTCACTTTCTTCTTAACAGATAGTTCTTTTTGGTTTGGCCACCTGCTGATAGTGTTGGTCGCGAGCGCCCCCGCGCGGAGTTTGTTTAAAACTGTAGGCAGGCCAACTCTGCTGGGAGCGCGAGCCATCCCTCGGGCATCTTTCGAGAGGAAGTGATGACTAAACTTGTACTTTCGCACCTAATTTTCAGCTATGCTCCCAGCTCTGCCATTTGTGGGAATTGAGAGCGCCCTCCAACCTGGCGCCTCGTTCCCCAGCTACCGCGCGCGTGCCGACAGCGTAGCCCGGGCGCGCATAAGCACCGGCATCCGCCAAGATGGCTGCCAGGGCGCCTCTCGGTCTGGGCGAGTGGACCGTTGGCTCTGTCCCGTGCTGGCATGTCCAGGCACGCTACGCTGCTTGGGCCTACGTCACAACGCAGCGCCATTTCCCTTTTGGTGCGCATGACATCCTCGTCTCCTACGAGCTATGTTACGCCCGACAATTCGCTCGTGGTGGCAGATGCTCTCAGGCCTCCACGAGAGGTTGACGCGCTGCTTAGCAGGCGGCTTCTCGTTCGTGCGTTCGACATCGGCCCTTGTGCGGGAGTCGTCGCGCCCTAGGCAAGCGTACTTGCTCGGTCTTGCGGAGTACCCTATACGGCCTGCAAGCCCGTGAGTGTCGCACTGTGCTGCATCTTGGGTTTATAAACCCGTTCTTGTTTTCCTGCCCAGTGCGTGGTTTCTGCGCCGTGTCGGAGAAAAACGACGAACCCGGCCGCAGCGTCATCGCACGCAGCGGGAGTGTAGGACGTCGCATCCTTACATGATTGAGCTTAGTAGGTAAGCCTAGTGCAAACCTATCTCCACATAACTGGCACCCAACTAGGTTTCGGCATGGCTTCAGAGCAGACCCCTTCGAGGCGCTCGTTCCTGTTCAATCCTGCGGCGACGGACTTGATCTCGTTCGAGGCGGACGGCTGCAACAGCACGGGGTACGGCCCTCTCGGCGACCCTCTGCTTTCGTTCACCGGGAGAGATCCCTTTTTCGGGGCCCCCCTACAGTGATGTGAGTCGCTTGAACGAGGACCGCAGTCCTAGCCAAGCCAGTACCGGGCTGCATCAGCTGTTCGAGACACGCGCTTACAGGCCCGTCCCCGGCGCAGTCTCCGCTCGCTGACCTTTCCCCCGTCAGCAGCACGGTCGACAGCTCAAATAGCCGCACCCTGTCCTTCCTACCGGGGGCACTCAGGTGTTGGGGGGAACGCACTTACTGACCCGTGGTGGTCGGGGGAACAAGGGGTTGACAAAGTCGTTCGTGAGCCTGCTCGCTTAACCGACGGCGCCACCTTCACAGACGCTCGGTGGGGTGAGACTCGGGTGGGCGACGCTTTCGCCGGGCGTGGGCCATCGTGCTCCGCTGTCGACCCGTTTGCCAGTCGCCTGAGGCCTCAAGCACCAGTCGGAGCGCAACCCTACCCTCCTCCATGCCGTGTACTGGCCCTTTTCGGTCGGACGCGCATGTTGGGGAACAGGCGCGCGCACCTGTTACGGCCGCGCCCCGCGTCGGAGCGGTCACCGCTGCACGCAACTGCGGCGCAACTCCTAAACGTTCTGTTGGAAACGGTGTGCTCGCAGCCTTGTGCTTTAAAGGGAGACCCCGAGTCCCCTCAGCCAAGCGTTCCGAGTAGCTTAAGGGTACCCCTGCCTGAGTACAGCGGTTATTCGGGCCGCATCAGTGCCACGGAGTACCTCGATGCGCTGCACCGCTATCAGCAGGCTACGCGGCTGAGCGACAGCGTCATGCTAGGCTCTGTTTTGCCCGTGTCGCTGACAGCCCAAGCGGCGAGGTGGTACCGGCTCGTCGGCCACCAAGCTCGCTCGATGGAGGAGTTTAGGGCGCTCTTCCGTAGCGAATTCTTTTCTCCTGAATACGAGCGCCGCATGTGTCGCGAGTTAGAGCTTCGCACACAGCATCCCGACGAATCTCTTCTCGAGTACGTTCGGGCTTTGCAGAAGCTCTACCTTCTTGCCGATCCTACGGCATCAGACGCCGAGAAGGCGGAGCGAGCCATACGCCAGACTCATCCAACCTTCGCCGCTTACCTTCGGAGCGCCCGTTATCGTCACCTAAATGAGCTGGCATCTGATGCGAAGCGTATTCAGGGCGACATTTTGGCGGCAGGAGCCTATCGGCCGCCGCCCCCGCCGTCCGCGTCTCTCGAGCCTCGTTGCGCGTGGGCTGGTCGTGACTCGTCACACTGGTGTTCCCCGAACCATGAGGCGGCCTCTGCCGCCAGAGACCGAGACGCGCTCGATGTGTCGGACCGCGCTCTGGACCCGTACTAGTACGCCCGGGTGGCACCGTCTCCCGGCAGCGGTGACAAGAACGTAAACCCCGTGCTCCAGTGCACGAGAGACATCTGATCGCGAACCCCCACTGCAGCTAGCGAACAGACACCTCGTAGCTCTAAAGGATCGCCACAAATCCACCCCCCCCCCCTGTTGGAGGAAAAGGCGTTGTCTGCTCCGTTGCCTTGAGCGTGGTCACACCGCGCGTGAGTGCAACGCGCCCCGACCGACACCGGGCCTGCTCGCCCGTCGGGAAACGGGATGAGCGGTCGGTGAGCCTTGCCGGCGGGCTGCAGCAGAAGAGAGCACGGGGTGTAACACAACCTCTGGCATCGATGGGCGTGTCGCGCTGGACATGACATTCCAGCCGCGCTGGCGCCGTTCATCGCCTTACAATTGCTGGTTGAGGTTTTGCGGCTTGCTGGATAGCTGGGCCTCTATCTCGCTGTTCGGCGAATAGCTTAGGGCTCATTACGCGACCGCTCTGTCCGCATTCGAGCTTGCGACACTGCCTTCCACCTCGCCAGCGGTACCGCCACCTCGTGCGGCGCTGCGCGAGTGGTTCTGCGTTGGTGGGAATCACGAACGCCGACAGCGCTTTTGTGCATCTCCTGGTCTTTCCGTGCCTGTGATTCTCGGCCGCGACTTTCTCGCGCGCACAGGTATCGTGATTGACGTCGCACAGCGGTGGCTACAGCGACGGCCCTTCCGGCGCCCTACGGCCTTTCGCCGCACCTCCCGTGGCTTCGGCTGCCAGTAAGTCGCCGGACGCCATGAGGAACGAGGAGGAAAGGAGACCAAGGGGTGCCCCCGCGGCCGCGTCTCCCCCTCCGACGCCAAGACTGGTCCTTCGGCCGGAGCGTCAGAAAACGGTCCGTGTGTACCAGCTTTCCTCGAGAATAATGCTGCCGCGGTGAACGATGTCTCGGCTATGCCGATGACCCCCCGCTAACCAGCAACCGAATGGCTCGCTGCCGCTCTTTGCCGGGCAGCTGTCGAAACGCGCAGAAAGGCACCGCCTGTCGTCGCTGTTGACACGTTTCAGTGATACGTTCAATAACGACCCCGGGTTGCACCCTCTCTGGTGAGGATCTGGATCGACATAGGTACGCACAATCGTGGAAATGCATTCCTCGCCCCGTAGTGCGACAAAGAGAAGAGCAATTGACCAGGCACTGGATGAGTTGATTGAGACCGGAGCTTGTCCAACGCTCAAACAGTCATTGGGGTTCACCGGTGGTAATGGTCCCCAAAAGAGACGGCTCTCACCGGCTCTGTGTGGACTACCGCCAGCTGAAAACGAGGTCATGAGCAAGGATGCTTAACCTCTCACAGAGGTTTGTACGAGTTTACCCGCACGCTGTTTTGCTGTTCTGGAGCTGCAGCTACGTTCCAGAGATTGATAGGACCACGTGTCTAGGGGACGATAAATGGCAACACGCCATGGCGTACCTCGACGACGTCGTCATCTCTCAAACGTTCGAAAAACACCTTCACCACTTGGGGGATGTCCTTGGGAGGTTGCGTGCCGCCGGGTTGACTTTGAACCCGAAGAAAGCCCAACTAGCGGAGACTCGCATCTCCCTATTAGGTTTTTACCATTCAGAGTGGTCGTGTTTGCCCTGCGAGGAGAAGGTATGTGCCATTGCGGAGTACCCGACGCCGGCAAACATTCAGGGCCCTGAGGCGCTTTTTGGGCATGGTGAACTACTATCGACAGTTCATGCCAAACTGTGCGGCCCTCCAAGCGCTCTTGACTGCACTCTTGAAAACGTCGGCACCGATGGAGCTGGGGGCCGGAACAAGAGCGCAGCCTTCAAGGCGCTTTCCGAAGCTCTAGTGGCCACAGCTGAGTTAAAGCTGCCCGACTGAACAGGGAGTTCATTGTCCAAGCGGAGACGAGGCGACCTGGGTCTCGGGTGCGGTACTACTTCAGGAGCACGACGCCGTTCCTCCGGCCAGTCGCCTTTGCGAGCCGGTCACTTAACGCGCTGAGCGTAACTATAGGGTCCACAGAAAGGGAATGTCTCGCTATAGTTTTTGCTCTCCGGACGTTCGACTGCTACGTCGACGGCGTGCATTCGTGGTGGAAACGGACCACATGGCACCCACCTGGCTTAGCGCTCGCGCGAGCCCTTCGCGCCGCCTCGCGCGCTGGGCGTGACCTTGCAGTGGTACAACTTGTGTTGCGCTACCGGAAAGGGAGTTCGAAAGTCGTGGCTGACGCTTTGTCTGCGTGCCCCCGTTTCGGCGTCCGACACTTGTGTCCACCACTCCCGAAAGCAATCACATCAGTAGACCCCGGGCCCTCTGGCTCCACAGGGGTCGAAAGGCGCGAACCCCGACGGCGAAGTGACTTTCGAGTCGACAGCCTCGGGTGAAGATGCATACCTGGTAGACCTGTCACGTCCACCTGTATCATCTTTAGCAGATAGGAGCTGCTCAAGGCACAGCAGGGCGATTTGTTTTGTCAACACATCGTTGACGTGCTCAAAGAGCTGAGCTCCCAAGCGGAGCGTGGCGGGTCAAGCCGCCGAGCGCGAACAGACAGCTGGTATTGCTGTCGGCGCCGAGTGCAGTAGAGGCTGGTATTGCTGCGGGCACATGGATTCGTACCTGCTTGATGCCGACGGCTTTCTCCTGCGCTACGTCCCATCTGAAGAAGCTCCCCAGGAGTCTTTCAAGCGGCTGATGCCTCGCAGTCTAAGGAAAGCCACCCTAGGTTATTTCCACGACTCACGGTTGGCCGGACACGCGAGTGGCTTTTAAGACTTTTCAAAAGTTGTGCCACTCCGCTACCTGGCCTGGCATGAAACGCGACCCTCCCACTACGCCCGCTCATGCCGCGTGGGGCCAATGCATGAAGCCTCGCGGGGGCAAGCCTCCCGGGCCTCATGCAGCCGATCGACAGCCAACAACCTTGGCAAGTCGCCGGCCTGTGACATTATGGGACCTTTCCCACAGAAGCCGAGGAGGCCATGTTTTCTCCTGGCTGTCACAGATCCCTTCACGAAGTGGGTCGAACTATTTCCTCTTCGAAGTTAACGGCACGCGCAATCTTGGGACAGGTTGACCGAGGTCTTTACCCGCTTTGGCTTTCCGGCGGAGTCGATCACGAACAATGCGTCCTATTTCACGGCCAAGGTGTTGTGGATGCGTGTGCTGCCTTTGGCATTAAGGCGCCATAAAACAACCACGTATCACCTACAGGCCAACGCGACCGAGCGGATCCAACCGGAACCTCAAACTCTTGCTGACAGCCTTTGCGCAGGAACACAGGGATCGGGGTGCCTGTCCCTCAACGAGATAGGCTTCTCCTTGCGGTCTACGGTCAATCGCTTGACAGGGTACACCTCGCCTTCCTCAACATTGGGAGAGAGCTGCCTAAACCCCATGCACCGCGTCCTACGTGGCCGCGGCGGGCAAGCGCCGCGAAAATCAGCCCGTCTGGCTACGTGGCGGAACTGCACTCACGGATGGACGCGACCTCAACCTGGCGCGTTCCAACCTAGCAAAAGCGCGAGGTGGTCCAGAAGCTCAATACGACCGGTCGCATCGGGATGTCCGTACGATGTCGGCGATCTCGTCCTCAGGCGCATCACGTCTTGAGTGACGCCGCCAAAGGCATCTCGGCCACCCTTTCGGCCAGTGGTTGGGCCCCACCAAGTGCACACCAACGTGTCGCCCCTGGTATACAGCTGCTGACTCCCAAGGGAGACCGATCGGCGGTCCACTTAACGTCTCTGACCTCAAACCTTTGTTGTCCCGCAGCAACGACTTCGGGGAGGGGGAGGCGGTCACTGAACCACAGTGGAAATCGGGATAAGGCTCTTTCCAAACCACGCCACCGTACAACCTGCGAAAACGCACTTAGGCTGATTTTCGACTCCGGCATGTAGCGGGACGTTATCCCCTCCATGTAAGGGAGCGCAGATTTATAGCTGCTGTGCGATTGCCCATCCTGCAGCAACAGTAACGGCTACCTGGCGAGCTTTCTCCATGGGAACACCATTACAACTCGCTGCGCGCGGAATATCCACCCGGTTCCAGCGCTCCGGGCTGCTCGAGAGAGAAAAGCCCTTTCCCCGGTGGCTCACTCTCTCACTGGGTACCTTTCGTGTAGTCGGCGGGAGAAGGAAAGCGTGCGCCATAATTGGCTCACGCAATCTTCAATCCGACGGGGTAGGCTTTCTTTATTTGGCCAGCCTGTCGCGCCTACGGTGGCCGCACCTCCGTTGCGTTTCTGCTTTTCACCGACACCCCAGCATTCTTGATGTCCTCCTCTAGGGCCGTTTCCTCCAAGAAAAAGCCCGGGAGACCAGCAGCGCACTAGGTCGTTCCGCAGGCACTGGCTGCGTCCATGCCCGCCTGCGTCGAATGCTTACCTGCCCCAGCTAACAAGACACCAGCCTCGCCGTGAAGTCGCTACGCGCACGTTCCAACAAGGCACTGAGGCCCCGGTCGCCTCCTGTCGACTCGTCGCTTGGTCCAAGCAATGCATAGTCTGGGTGGCGTTAGAACCCCCGAGTCCGGTCCCGCGTCCTTTCTGCGGACGCACCCTTCGGACCTGCTTGACGCTTCTGGAGGTGCCTCGATGTCGCCTGTTCTTGAGGCCTCCTACCTGTGACCCTTGTGGTGTTATGCTGGTGCACGAGGTACCCACCTCCGTTTCGCGGGTTCACAAGTGAAGTCCGGCGGCGACCTTGCCGTCCTGTCCCCTTCGGTGGTGCCGCCTGGCCCAAGCCTTCGACCCGCCCCTGTCAGACCGACTCCGATCAGGCGGTCGTGGCGGCGCTCGTCACGGATCTCTTCATTCAAGTCGGCACCGCTGCTGCGGTGTCTGCCGCCCTCCGCGGCCCCAGGTTCCTGCTGAGACACAGCCGAACGAAAAGACCGGGGCCCCCGTCGATCTCGTGGACAGCACTGAACTGGACCCTAGTTTTTTTCGGTGTGGTGGATGGCTCTTACTACGGCGTCTTCAGGCGGCCTCGGTCTTAGGAGGGGGGATGTGGGAATCGAGAGCGCCCTCCTACCTGGCGCCTCGTTCCCGAGCTGCCGTGCGCGCGCCGACAGCGTAGCTCGGTGTGCGCATAGCACCGGCATCGCCATGATCCGACTCGCCCAGAGCGAGAGGCTTCGGCATCCGCAGGGCGCTCTCGGTTTGGCGAGTGGACCGTCGGCTCTGTCCCGCGCTGGCATGTCCGGGCACGCTACGCTGCTTTGGCCTACGTCACAACGCAGCGCCATTTCCCTTGGGCGCGCGTGACATCCTCCCTCCTATGAGCTATGTTACGCCCGACGATTCGCTTGTCGCGGCAGATGCTCTCAGACCTCCACGAGAGGTTGACGCGCTGCTGAGCAGGCGGCTTCTCGTTCGTGCGTTTCGACTTGGCCCTTCTGCGGGAGCCGTCGCGACCTAGGCAAGCGTACTTGCTCGGTGTTGCGGAGTACCCTATACGGCCTGCAAGCCCGTGAGTGTCGCACTGTGCTGCATCTTGGGTTAATAAACCCGCTGTTCTGTTTTCCTGCCTCGTGCGTGTTTCTGCGCCGTGTCGGAGAAAACGACGAACCCGGCCGCAGAGTCGGTCGCCGCAGCGGCAGTGGAGGACTCGCATCCTTACACGATTGCGCTTAGTAGGTAAGCTAGTGTGAACCTATCTTCCACACATTGTATCCTCCGGCTAAGCGGCGCAGCTCCGCCATAACCATGGTAACGAGGGCTGGGGTTGGGGACACGCAATAGGATCGCTAAGAAAAGACATCCTTTGGGTGCTCGAGCATGCCTATTCAGACGCCGCAGAAGCCTCGGAGAGGGCTTGTTTAACTCTCCCAAGATTGCTGCGTCCTGGTCGTTTGACGCAAAGACATGGGGCGAATTTTCGCTCAGCCGCTGATCTCCCGAAGACACGCCGACAGTGAGTTACGCGAACACAGAGAAGTGTTCACGGCTGTTCCATCGTGGCGGAAGCACTCTCGCCCCTTTGGTGCCTTGGATGAATGACTACCGTGCAGCGAGGGCGCGAGCGAATGGGTTTTCGATAAGATGGCATTAGCACGGTGATGGTTTCAATGAACGAAGGGGTTCAGGACTGTCCAACGTGAAGTGCCACCGCAATGCCTTCAGCACAGGACAGCGGCAAGCAACTAATACGATGTGGATCATCGTATTAGTTGCCTTGCTGTAGCCGGCGTAGCCACTCGCGAGCACCCGTCCGTGCAGAGGGTCGACGAGGAAGCACTTCACGTCAAGAGGGCCGGCCGAACTGGCGGCTATTTCGCACGTAAGTGTGCGCGTGGCTGACATGTCATTCGGAAACCGCGTCGTTGACCGAAACATGCTTCACTTTTGATGTGCTGGGGTCTAATTCAGATCTGGGCGTCCTGCCGTGACAGATGGAATCGCGTTTCTGCAAGGACAGTTGGAACAGGTACAGTGTGTGACAGATGCGCGATGCACATGAACGAAAGCTAGATGGTAATTTTGAACTTTAATTCGCACATGAGCGTCGACTTAAGGTCCCCATCTAGGGGACCTTACGTCGGCTACGCCGGCAGTGTCGCGTATGTGGTAGTGGTTGAGTGAACAAAAAAGTCACTCATCTGCAACTCTTGCGGGTACCACGGTTCAGCTCAGGCTCTTACTTGAATATGGAAAGAGGGACGCGGAAAGACAGAAAGAAAAGGTAGAGAAAGAGTGTCCGGCAGGTTGTGGGTGCTTTCGTACGTAAAACAGCCCGGAAAAACTTCGCCACATTTCATCGCGGGTGCGTGAGTGCGTCGCCTGCACGTCACCTACAAGCGTGCACGTCGCCTACAGAGAGGAACCAATAGCGCGCGAGCAATCCTGACGCTGTCACCTGGCCGTCATCCTCCGCACTCTTTCTTTTCCCCCTTTCGTGTGATGCGGTACCAGCAATTCCAAATACGCGTCCCGGCCCCAAACCATACTTTTGTGGCATCTGCGGAAAGGCCGGCCCCAAACCAGACTTTTGTGGCATCTGTGGAAGGCGGGTCGCTCACGGATGGCACCCGTGCTTCTCATGAGTGCACGATAGGTCAAGCTGATTGATTGATTGATATGTGGGGTTTAACGGCCCAAAAACCACTATATGATTATGAGAGACGCCGTAGTGGAGGGCTCCGGAAATTTAGACAACTGGGGGTTCTTAACGTGCACCCAAATCTGAGCACACGGGCCTACAACATTTCCGCCTCCATCGGAAATGCAGCCGGCGCAGCAGGGATACGAACCCGCGCCCTGCGGGTCAGCAGCCGAGTACCTTAGCCACTAGACCACCGCGGCGGGGCGATAGGTCAAGCTGGCCGCAAGACGTCGGCGCTGATGGAAATAGGGTTCTCGGGCGTTGCCGCAGGTGGCTCAGCCCGCTGCCATCGTTGCATGGGACTCAGACCCGCAGCTCAGGGAGATCCATCGTGGGCCGCCCGCGTCCCACAAGGATCTCAGGTGAGCGGCTCGGGGTGGGGGAGCCTCGCTGCCTACACCCTCGGGGATCTCCCAACCTAAACCGTCCTACCCTTTCGCTACCGCGCGGGACCAAATTGAATTCCGCAGGTTTGCAGCCCCAAGTTGCCTCTTTAATGCAGGCGGTGGAGGCGCTTGCAACCGCTCGTTTTCACCTATAATCCAACACACATTGGACAGGTACCACAATGTGATGGATAGTACCGTTTTGAGCGCATGGACACCGCGGTGCACCTCGCCCCGCTTGAGGCGCGCATCGACAGCTTAGAGGTGCAGATGACGTCCATAGTGACCACGATCGAGGATCGGTTGGCTGCCACGCTCCAAACCGTTTTCGACCGCATTACGGGCACGATAGTTGCTCAGAATAACTCAACTCTCTGTTGGGACTCGCCGTTGTTGCGACCGGGGTTTGCAGGCACCGGAGTCCGGGATGAAGTTGTCGAGGCAGGCGGAAGAGAGACTTGATGAGGGTTTCTTTACATTATATACAAGGTGAGCTCTCGTATATGACGAGCTCTTTCTTACATGGTGAGCTCTCGAATCTGGCGTTCCTCTACATTAGCTCCTTTGGGAAAGCCGGGTGGCTTCATTATAAAGGGTATGTTCTCCCCGATCTCTAGATCAGCGAACCGTGCAGAGGTTACTGATCCAATTACAGATCAACACACAGCCGGCGAGGGGGAAGAGCATAGCACGGCCCACGTGACCGTCCAATATTGAGCTGGATCACCTGCAATCCAAGGTGGCGTCAGCGGGGCTCTTCCTCGTCGGTGTTGCCGCTAGTCAAGGGGTCCCAAACGCTTGACAGCATACATCAAAGGGTCCGCCGAACCGCTCGCCTAATTAGTGGGGCGATTTGCGGCGGTCGCTTTCCAAGGAAGATGCTGTAGTTGTGTGTCCTCTCTCGAACGGCTTACAGCCTACGTGGCGACACGACGGTCTCACCCACGGCTAGGAGGGACAATGCCTGGTGGTCATAAACAGCCGGCTTGTCGGCTACTTGTTTGAAGATCCAAAGAGCGCCGCTCCTCCCTCATCAGCTACGGTGCTAGTCACAACACCGTCCTAAGCTTAAGCGGGTGTCTCAATCTCCAGCGCGCCGACCTTTTTCCCAGGTAGCCGAGGTAGACGCGCACTCTGGCAGTTCGACTGCGACCTCGCAAGCGAGCACAAGATCGAGCAATAAAACCTCTATGGCCCACTTGGCTCTCCCGGAGATCGCCCAGACGTTCAGTTCTCATGATGGTGGGCATTGGCTCTAGATCGCGCCGCCTCCGTTCAAATTCGGACCCTTTTACAATGCTACAGTGGGAATATTGCCGGGAATTTAAGACACGCACTAAGCAGGCTGCTCTCCGGCTCCATCTAGAATCCTATACGCATTTTCCCGAGGTAGTTCTCACAAATTATACTGTGTACAAAGGTATGCGCCAACCGCACTCTGCTGTACAGAAATTACACCGCCAACCTGGTAAATCTCGACTGCGATCCGCTTCACGCCTACGTTATGACTCTTCCCACTTCGGAAGCAGGACCCGTCAGTACATATTCGAAACATCTACAGTTATCCGAAATTGCCTAATGTACTTACGCTGATGTTCTTAGCAAAGCCCTTACCGTGGCCGGCAGGGAGCCGCTAGTCATTGTAGGCGACTTTAACGCACCTAGTCCTCACTGGGGTGACCCTAAGGAGGATCGGCGTGGAAGAAAGTTGGCGAAACTTATTTTTCACCCTGGGCCCCACTATCCTTACGGGCGCTGCACACCCGACCCGTATTGGTAACTCTGTAACTCGATACACATGTCTGATCTCACTCTTACCAAGCACGCCAAGTATGCAGAATGGTTAAACACTCAGGAAACCCCTGCAGTGACCACTGCATTCTTCTAACTACAATTCGGACACATCCCCTTACCTGTCCCCACCACCAAGCGAAACTTCCGACTGATACAAGTTCCGTTCGGAGTACACGACTCTGGCACCCATAGCTCAACAAGGTTAGGCCTCTTGGTCTCACCACCTTGTGACGTCACTTCGCCAAAACAGAACCAGACGATTGAGCTCTCACAAGCCACTCCGGCGGTGGATAACCATCTCGTGCGGCTCTGGGAGGCTCGACATAGCCTATCCGCCGATGGCTCCGACAAAAGCATAATCGTCAGCTCGAAATCCGCATAGCATCGCTCACTCAGGAAGCAGCCGGGCACGCGGCCCACCTCTCTGACTCCAATTGGGTTTGAACGCTGCAACGATGCCGCCAAGCATATGTCAAACCGTAACACGCTGGCGTTTCTTCAGGGCCCTCATCGACCCAGCCAAATGCGCACATAACGCAAAAGCATCTTAAACGCGCACTACAACCCTACGCAGGTTGACGCG